GAAAGCTTTCAACACAAACAGTCACTGTCAAATACATGAAAGAACTCACACTGGGGAGAAACCCTATGTATGTAAGCAATGTGGGAAAGCTTTCAGGACAAGCGGTGGTATTCAAAAACATAAAAGAAGTCACACTGGGGAGAAACCCTATGCATGTAAGCAATGTGGGAAAGCTTTCAGATGCCACAATGAATGTAAAACACATGAAAGAATTCACACGGGGGAGAAACCTTATATATGTAAACTATGTGGGAAAGCTTTTAGATGGCTCCGTGACTGTCAAAGACATGAAAGAAATCACACTGGGGAGAAAACCTATGTATGTAATCAATGTGGGAAAGCTTTCAGCAGAAACAGTCATTGCCGAATACATGAAAGATCTCACACTGGGGAGAAACCCTATACATGTGAGCAATGTGGGAAAGCTTTCAGCACACGTGATTATTGTCGAGTACATGAAAGAAGTCACACTGGTGAAAAACCCTATGCATGTAAGCAATGTGGAAAAGGATTTGCTACTAAGTCTTCATTACATAGACATAAAAAAACTCATTGAAGAGAAGCCCTGTGTATGTAAGCAATGTGGAAGTACCTTAAGTACACATGCATATTGTCAAGTATATGAATGTATATATTTCATGTCAAATGTATGGAAGTCTCACCAGAAAGAAACTATATATCTAAGCCTATTTTGAAAATCCTATGAAAATTTCTCATGTAGTAGGAACCTATAGAAATAATACAAAATATCTGATGTCAGTATTTCTTCATAAATTTTCAAAAGAATATAAATTCTTGATGGAGATATCAGAAAGTATATACATTATGTGGTTTTCAGTAAATCACTTATTTATAGATACATAGGTTATTTATATGTAATATTTAATATAAAAATATTGAATTGACATAAGGTGTTTTATGTGAATGAGCTCAAATATAGTGTCCTAATTAAGCATGGTGGATTAAAATATTTTTTTACTTTCAAGTACAATTGCTGTTTAGGTTTATTTTGTTTTTCCTTTCTGAAGGTATAGGCCATTAAAAATCTTAATTTTGTAATTTTCATTATTAGGATTTTGCACAATTTTTCCTTTAAATTTCAGTATGTATTTTCCATATTCTGTGTATCAAAGGAAATCTTTTAATTTGATGCTATATTTCATATTGATATATATTTTCAGAGACTTGCAAACATGAGTTTTTGACAAAGTTGAATTGTTTTCACCCAGCTGGTAGATTAGTAAATTTTATTTTTCATATCATGATGATATTTGCTTTAATTTCAAAATCGCTGTGTATTACGTACATAATGATGTATATTTTTTAATATTACAATTTCTCTAAAATTTTATCTTTTTACATGAAAATTTTTCATGTTTACATTGCAGTGACTTCATATGCTTGTAATTTTCCCACCACACATACCAAATATAAACCATACTGTTCTGAGTTTCTTATTGCCAGAGTCCCACTGTTGCAGAACCCAAGAGATCAGAAAGACCAAAGGGGAAAATGAGTATTTATTGGATTTTAGATGCACACCAGCTTGGCTTGATCTTATGACGTCCAAATTGACTGAGCACCAGAATGTATAGTTTTATATATTTTGTTTAGGGGGTTGGACTTTAGAAACTGGAGGGACAGTCAAGGGTACAGAAGACAAAGCAATTAATTTAGCCTTGAAGAAGACAGGGCCTTATGAATCCTATGAGGACAAGATGACATAAACTCTGTTTACAGTATATAGTTATCAATCTTATCTGTACCAGAACAAGAACTTACAGCTACAGAGGAGGAGGAGGAACTTTGATGAGGGGGGGTTGCTCTTTAAGTCCCACTTCACTGCAGGACCATATCTTGCCTCCCAAAAGATACATGAATTATAGTATTGTCCAGAAAGTATAAATGATGGTATGATTTATCACTAACAATACTTTCAGTGGAAATTTTATCATGTGTGGAGTTGTTCTGGAGAATATGGTTGCTATTGAATGTAATAAGGCAAATGCCTTTATTCTATCCCCTGATGCTGTGATGCCATCCTATCTTTGGTAATCATTATTGTTTTTATATACTAAGCTATAATTTTGGCATGAAGAAAAACCTAATTAATGAGATGTGCCAATCAGTTAATTAAAAACTGAAATTTTTGAAATTATTATTTAGACAGTTTTCTTACAAATTTGGGATATGTATTTATATAATGATATTTTTCATTGTTCATGAGGTCCATCCTCTGATGTTTAAAGTATGTGACAAATGCCTTTAAACACATATTCTAGCCAAGGTGTATGCATGAGTCCCAGTTGGTCTCTTGTTCCTATTTTATAATCCTTTTAACATTGATATATGTTATGAGGTGTTTTATAAGTATTCTCTAATACAAAAACTGCTTAAAGTCTGACAGGATTATGTTATTACAAACCTATGATATGAAAAAATAAGTGAGCAGTGCATTAAATACCCATAATGCAATGAACAGTCTAGCTTGCCCAAGCCTTACTTATGCTTAGAAACTTTACCAGTTGTGTAAGATTGTCTAAAATTACATCAATTTTATACCTAAATTAGATGATGTAATTCATGGAATGTAATACAGTGCAGACTCCATGGTCAGTTTTTACAACCTACAACATGTGGCTTTACTGCAGCACATTTCTGCTTTTTATCATCACCAAGAAGACATGTAGAGTGTACTGCTATTCCAGATACCAAAAAGGGAAAGAAAAGACTCAAATTCATGCAATTATGAATAAAAGAGTGAAATCTCAACAGATCCTGTGGAAATCCAGAAGAACATCAGTACATACTTTGAGAAACTTTACCCCAATAAGATAAAAAACACAGAAGAAATTGATCGATTCCTAGATACATAGGAATTACAAAAGCTGAATCAACAAGATATAAAAATTCTAAATAACCCTATAGGAGTCAATGAAATTTAAAATATTTTTTACCATTTTTACCATTTTTTACCATATTTTTACCATTTTGCTTTTTGAGATAGGATCTGACTATGTAGTCCAGGCTGACCTTGATCTTACTGTGTAGCCCAGTCTGGACTCATTCTCAGTGATCCTCCTGCCTCACACTCATGAATTCTGGTAGTACAGGCATGTGCCCACAAGCCCACCTGAAATTGACAATGTAATTAAAAACTTACCAACAAAGAAAAGCCTGTAGAATTTTATAGGAAATTTAGAGAAGATTTAATGCCATTACTTGTCAAACTCTTTAATGAAGTTGAAAGGGAAACAACACTCCCAAAATAAGTCCTGGAAGTATTACCCTGCTTCCAAAACCAGAGAAGCATCCAACCAGGAAAACAGAATTACAGGCTAATCTCCCTAAGGAATATAGATTCAAAAATCCTCAGCAAGATATTGGCAAACAATGCAGCAAATCATCAAGATTATACATGATGACCAAGTAGGGCTTATCGCAGGGATTCAGAGATGGTTCAACAGAGGCAAATCAGTAAAAGTAATATACCATATTAACAGAAACAAGGATAAAAACCATATGATTATCTCAATAGAAGCAGAAAAAGCATTTAACCAAATCTAACACTTCTGATAAAAAGCCTACAGAAAATTGGAATGGATGGTCTTTATCTCAATCTTATAAAAGCCAACTATTCAAACCAACAGCCAGTATTACATTACATGGTCAAAAACTGAAAGGTTTCTAAAGTCAGGAATAAGACATGGATGTCCATGTCAAAATTCCTATTCAATGTAGTTGTGGAAATATTAGCTAGAGCAATTAGACAAGAAAAAGAAATAAAAGGATTGAAGCTAGGAAAGGAAGAAGTTAAATTATCATTTGCAGGTTACATAATACTCTACAAAGAAGACCACAAAAACTTCACCAGAAGATTCTAGATTTAATAACCAAATTCAGTCTCATACCTAGATACAAAGTCAGTACTCAGAAATCAATAACATTCCTGTACAAAAATAACAAACTCACTGTGGGAAATTAGAGAAACTACACCCTCACAGTAGTATCCCCCCCAAAATGAGTACTTAGGAATCAATCTGACAAAAGAAGAGATGTCTACATTGAAAACTACAGTAGTCTGAAAAAGGAGTTTGAACAGGATATCAGAAAATGAAAAGATATTCCTTGAAATTGCACAGGAAGAACCAACATAGTAAAAATGGCCATATTTCCAAAATTTTTATACAAATTTAATACAGTCTCAATCATACCTCACAGAACAAGAGAAAACATTCCTCAGATTCCTTGGGAACCAAAAGAGACCTAGAATAGCAAAACAATTTTTGGCAACAAAGGAAAAGTAGGGGGCATCAAAACCCCTGACTTACAATTATACTACAGAGTTACTGTGATAAAAAAGTAAGGTGCTGGCAAAAAAGTAGACCTAAAGATAATAAAACAGATTAGAAGAAGCAAATGCAATTTCAAACACCCCCAGCCATTTTCTTTGACAAATGAGCCAAAATATTTACTGGAGAAAGAAACCCACTTTAGTAAATGATGCTGGAAAAACTGACTTTCCATATACCCAAAGCTAAAACTAGACCCATGTCTATCACCATGCCCTGAACTGAAATCAAAATGGGTCAAGGATCTAAATGTTAAAACAGAAACAATCTGCTGGAGGAGAAGATAGGTAGAACCCTTGAAGATACAGGTGTAAACAGGCTTCATAAAAAACACCCCTGACTGCATGAGACATACTACAAAGAATTAACAATTGGGATCTTATCTTAATTAAAAGCTTCGGCATAGCAAAAGAAATCACCAACAGAATAAAAAGACAACCCACAGAGGGGAAAAAGTCTTAGCCAGTTGTTTTTCAGACAAAGGACTAATAGCTAGAACCTATACAGAACTGAAAAATATCAGATCCCTAAATTTAAAGACCTAATTCAAAACGTGTATCCTTAACAAATAGACACTTCTCAGAAGAGAAACAAATGGCCAATAAATGCATAAATAATGTTCAACATCATGGTTCATTCAAGAGATGCAAATTAAAACAATTCTAAGATACAATCTCACTCCAGAAAGAATAGCTTTTATTAATAAATCAACCAATAACAAATGTTGACAAAGCTGTGGGGGAAAAAGAACACTTTTCCACTGTGGGAATGTAGACTGGTGCAACCCCTGTAGAAATCAGTGTGGACATTCTTCAGTATCTAAGACTAGAGGTCTCATTTGACTCAGCTATTCCCCTTCTTGGTATCATCCCAAAACAATTGTCTCAAACAGCCTTACGATAAAAAGAAGTAGACATTTCTACTGTTAAAGAAATTATGATAGCTTCAGGTTCTCTGTTCTAGAATCTGGAAAGTATCATATTGAAAAAAGTACACTACACACACAACAAATCTAAAATTTGCAGAAATTTATCTGAACAGAAAGAATCCAAGGACTTTTTCAGACTGACCCTCACACATTTACTATGAACAAAAATTACCACTTTCTGGACATAAAATCAAATAATTGATATGTTTAATATAAACAAATGCTGTGACCTTTGTAAATAGAAATGATTATGAAATATTTACCATAGCACTGGGCTTGCTGATCCACAGCTCTAAACACATCACCATGGGAGACTGAGGCCAGAGGATCATAAAGCCCAATGCCTGCCTGTTAAACAGTGGCATACAGTATCAAAATTTAAATAATTATAATGATTAATAATAATAATGATAAAATGGAGGGAGTGGAAAAGTGTGGCAAACTCAATCCACATAGTATAGGCCTGGAATACAAGGCCCCTTGCCTCTTTTGATCTCCTGCAAACAGTGGACAATGCAGGCTGTCAATAAATTTCACTGGCACACAGGGGTGAATTACTCCTCCCTGTCCAACAGGCTGCCAAGTATTTTTCCTCTATTTTATTTTCTTTTTCCTTCTTTTTCTTTCTCTGTCAAACACTGTAACTGTTAACTGGAACCTCTAGTGAGAGCAAGGTTAGGGCCTTGAGGATGGCGAGTGAAACGACACAAT